TGTTTGAAGAATATGGTTAAGTTCAATCTGCCTGCTTTGATGATGCAACACATGGTGTTTTGCCGGGATCACAATTGGAAGAGTTTGCCGTATGGCATGGTGTTAAGTTGGATTTTGGTTAAGAAAGGTGTTAGTGTTGATGGTTGTCTCCCGAAGGCTGTGGGAAAGATGGTGTTGGATACCGCTAATCTCCGGAGTTGTAATCTTTTTCAGTTGGATAGTGGTGAGTACATCACGCTTGAAGAGGTTGCTACGAAAACACCTGTTGAGAGAGCAGAGTTAGCTGCTGGGCTTGGGATCCATGCCAGGAAGTTGAGTCTTGCAGTCCAGAGTTTGGGTGGTGACGAAGAAGTTGAGGAAGAAGCAGATCAGGAAGAAGAAGAAGGAGCACCGGAGACCGCTGAAGCTGAAGTAAGTGAATCAGACAGTGAGGAAAGCCGGAGAAGGAAAGAAGTTCGCACCAAGAGAGGGCAAGATGTTGTCTCTTTGCTTCGGCAGCAGAACAGTTTGATCGCCGAGGGTTTTGCGTTTCTGAGGTCGCAGTTTGCCGCAATGCATCAGAGGGTGGATCGGTTTGAAGCTAGTTCAAGTCACAGAGATGAAGCCGAAGAGGAAGAGTCTGAAGAGGCCGAAGAGTCGGAGAGTGAGGAGTTCTAGTTGTGTTGTGGTAACCCCGTTCGCTTCTTTCTTGTTGTTTCTTAGCTGTTATAGCTTGGTGTTAGGTTGTTGTGTGGTTTGTGTGCTTGCTTGTTTTGTTTGTTGCCTTGTTGTTTAGCTAGTTTGTTAGTTGGTGTTTGGGTTAGTTGTTGTGTTCTTGGTTATTGTCTAGAAGTTGGTTGTTGTGTTGAGGTTAGAGTTCTTGATGCTCAATCTATCTGTTTGTTGACCTCTTGCCAATCCTTGGATTCGTAATATTTTCTTCTTTGCTTTGGAACCATGTGAGAACTTTTGGAGTTTTTGACCAAAAGGGATATTCTTGAAATTTCTTGTCACAATTTTGTTTCCTTGTTACCTTTCGTTCTTAACTCGTTGTACCCAAGTTTCGGGGACGAAACTTCTTTGAAGGGGGAGAGGATGTGACACCCCAAAAATCCACACTCCAATCCATGAATTAATTGAGTAATTAATTCTATTTCTTTTGACGAATTGATTCCTAAAATCCTGATTTTTGATACTCAAGGACTAGTATTTGACTAGTCAATCTTTAAGTGGTGTTGTACCTTGTGCTATGAGAGGAGTTCCCTTGTTCCTTACACTTTCTAAGAGTTAGTAAGGGTATCCTTGTCTTTTCACCAAGAGTTAGTTTTGTAACCTAAACCTAGGAGACTTCTTCATTTTCCATCCCTTACAATTCCTAGAAAATATCTCTACCTTCTCTCTAGAAAAGAAAAGTAGCTTGTTCTTCAAGCCTAGTGAGACCTTTGTCAAGATTCCAAGTTTTGCTTCCAAGATTTAATCTTTCTTCTATTTGGGCATCTAGAAGGGTAAGATCTAAGCTTGTCTAGTCTTTTTGGTTCCATCTTAGTTGTCTTTTCTTAAAGGTAGGATCTTTATGATCTTTTGGTTTGATCTTGAAGTGGGTGTGGCTAGTGAGCTTAGTGGAGAGCTTGTTGTGGTGTAAGAGGAGTATTTTGGTCTTCAAGAGGTAACCCATGCTCTACAAAACCTATTTTGCTTACCTATATATGATTTCTTGGCTTCTATTTGTGTTTTGCTATGAAATGTGAGAGTTTATGCATTTATCTTGTGATATTGCATATCTAGAGCTTGTGTTTAGGGTTCCTTTGTGCCATTGCTTGGCATGTTCCTTGGTTCAAGTCATTTTGTTGTGTTTGGTGAGATTTGGTGTGTTTTGGACTTGAATTTGTGTTTGGAGGAGAAAATCCCCGAAGGGATTTGTTGTGGTACAGGGACGTACCCGCGGGCGGAACGGCGGGCGGGGCACCACCCGCCGGCCTACCCGCGGGGAACGTATCGCCCTGTGTGTAGTGTACCCGCGGGCGGGACCACGGGTGGGGCACTACCATTGGGTCCACCCGCGGGGAACACGGTGGAGTTGGTTCGGGATTTGTTCCCCGTGATTCGTTTGTCTCGGTGTGTGATCTTTTGGCTTCCCGTTGTTCTTTGTGGAACTATTTGAGCGTCTTCTTGATGTTTCGTAGGTCTAGAGATTTATGGTAGGTAACCATGTTGGATCTTTGGTGTCTTGAATCGTGCTAAGTGTTCAACATTGTGTTTCGTTGAACCAAGAAGTGTCTTGTGTGTTCCTCGGAACTATCTTGAGTTTCCCCGTTGATAAGCATGCTAGTTTGTTGTCTTAATGGTAGCGTGTGTGTTGTTCGTACCTTCCGTTTGGTTGATGATAACTTGTGTTATTCATCGTTGTTGTTGTTGGGTGGTGACCCGTTTCTTGATCGAGTGTGTTTCATACCTTTGTTGTAATCCGTTGCTTGACTTTCGTGTGAGTGGTGGTGCATGTGTGGCTCTACCTGGATTTCACGATTAGTGGCATGGGACGCTAGTCACCAAGGTATTGCAGCGGTCCTCGTGGTGGCCGTGACGTGATTATGGAGTTGTGGCTGAGTCCACGTGATTGGGGGATACCATTGTGTTATCCGGGCATGTGTTGCCGTGATTGGTGGGTTTTCGTTGGTGGTTATAGGTGGGGGACGACGGTCCCGGCGGAATAAGGTTGGACTTGGCTGTACAGGGGATTTCTGGAGGTAATGGTTAGCTTTGAAGGTACAAGGTTGGGGGTAGCCATAAGGTTGGAACAAGGCATAAGGAAGGCATATCAACTCGTGATGGGTGATGTCACGAGGGCTTGTGTAGCCGTTGTGGTGAGTTCTCTTCTCTCGTGACGTGTGTAGTCACGGAGGCTTGTGTTGTTTGGCATGTGTTGCCGTTGGGTGAGTCTTTATCCTTGTGTGTGGTTAACCTTTGTGGTTGGGATGTGTTCCCGGTGTTATCTTTGTGAGGGGTGAGTCTTGTGTTGTCTTCTGATCTTGGCTTTTGACTTATATATATGTATTCCGTTTCGAAAATGGTTTTTATATCTTATATCTACCTATTTATGATACTTAACGGTATTGGTGGGTTACCAGCATCTTTCGCTGACCAGGCGTCGCCCCGATGTTTATCTTTGTGTTCTTTCGGGTGTTGAGTAGTCGAGCGCGATGTCTAGAGCCGGTATCTTAGCGCCTGTACCTTTAGATTGTGTTTTTGTTGCCTGCGAGCCAATGGTTTTAGACTGTTTGTAGTTTGATGTTTTGGGATAGTGATACACTTGCAGATTGTTCGCCTTAGCGTTTACCGGGTGTGGTAGACGTGGCATAACACCCCTGTTTTGGATTTCTTTTATCCAGTTTCTGTTTCTTCCGCTGTGCTAGTGTTTGTGTTAATCTCCATGTGTTAAGACTTGTTTTTAGGTCTTGTTTTTTTTTTGGGGGGTGTTACACATCTCCCGTTATCTCTTCGGATGGATTTAGATATTTTGTACTTTTCGTGGACGACCACACCCGTTTCAACTGGTTTATCCCTTACGGGTGAAAGAAGATATTTATAAAGTTTTCTAGTTGTTTCATGTGATGGTAGAACGCCGTTTTTCGCGTTCTATAAAGACCATCCAGTCAGATTTAGGCGGTGAGTACCGTCGCTTACATTCCATTTTTGAGTCAGTTGGGATCGTGCATAGGCAATCTTGCGCCTATACGCATGAACAAAACAGTAGAGTCGAGCGCCGGAACAGACACATTGTCGAAACCGGGTTAGCTTTACTCGCTGAAGGTTCCGTTCCACTAAAATACTGGGATTGGGCTTTTGAGACAGCTACTCACCTAATCAATTGCATGCCCTCATATGTTTTAAAGTTCAAAAGTCCATATGAATGCCTCTACAATACGTCACCTCCATACACTTTCTTTAGAGTCTTTGGGTGTCAGTGCTACCCATATCTCAGGCCGTACAATCGGCATAAGATCGAGTACCGTTCTGCACCTTGCGTGTTTTTAGGATATCCTAAGTCCTTTAGGGGTTACCGGTGCATGGATCCTAACACGGGCAAAACCTTTATCTGCCGTCATGTCAGATTTGACGAGACAATCTTTCCTTTTGCAACAGATTTACCATTGCAGGCTCCTATAAGCTCAGAAACTACACCGACACCATGGGGTTCTGGACCGGTAGTGCCATCAGTGGCGCCTTTGACTTCAGTGGCTCCTCCGGTGCCTGAACCCGAGCCAGTTGTACCACGGTTAGCACTGCCAGGTCCCGCGACCGCACCACCAGCGCGGCGACGGGCTGCACAAGCACGACCACAAGTCCGTGCACATGTCATGAGGCTACGACGCATGACACAGGGCACCGATGAGCCGTTCCAAGCTCTCACAGCCACACCTGAGCCTACTTGCTATTCTCAAGCTGTGGGCCACCCCAAGTGGCGTGATGCCATGGACCAGGAGTTCAATGCACTCGTACACAACAACACCTGGTCGCTGACTCCGGCGAAGCCGGACATGAACATCGTGGGCTGCAAATGGGTATACCGTACTAAACAAAAAGCCGACGGGACTATTGAACGTCACAGGGCTCGTCTAGTAGCCAAGGGGTTCAACCAGGTAGCTGGTGAGGACTTCTTCGACACCTACAGTCCTGTTGTCAAGCCGACCACCGTACGGCTATTACTCTCTATTGTCGTTTCACGTGGTTGGGTTCTGCATCAACTGGATGTGCACAACGCCTTCTTGAACGGGCGCTTGGCTGAAACCATATACATGTGGCAGCCTCCAGGGTATGAGGACCCGACACATCCTGATCATGTGTGTCATCTGCAACGGTCCCTATATGGCTTGAAATAGGCACCCCGTGCATGGTTCAAGCGTCTGCATGATTATTTGCTAACTTCAGGGTTTTTGGCGTCCAAAACAGACGTATCCCTCTTTCATTACATTGCAGGGGCTTCACGAGTCTTTTTACTAGTCTACGTCGATGATATCATAATGATGGGCAACGATTCTGCCTTGCTCACCACTTTGCAGCAACGTCTCTCTACTGTGTTTAAAATTCGTGACTTGGGCACACCAAGTTTCTTCCTCGGCATTGAAACCATTTCTACTGACGGTGACCTCTTCCTATCTCAACGCCGCTACATGAATGATGTCTTAACTCGTGCAGGTATGGCTGATTGCAAGCCGCTAGCCACTCCGGCCTCCATAACTCAATCTGCTGTCCCGGCAACAGAACCGTTTGATAATCCGACACAGTATTGGCGTCTCGCTGGGGCGCTGCAATACTTAACCATCACCCGGCCGGATCTATCCTACGCTGTCAACCGGCTCTACCAGTTTATGCATGCTCCAACTACTGAACACTGGGGCATTCTGAAGCGTGTCCTACGCTATGTAAAGGCCACTCTCTCATACGGTCTGAAGTTGATGCCTTCTCCGACTTGTGATGTACACGCCTACTCAGATTCAGATTGGGTCGGATGTCCGGTTGATCGAAAGTCAACCAGCGGCTATGCAGTCTTTTTGGGTTCAAATCTCATATCCTGGGTCTCTCGGAAGCAGAAAACTGTGGCCCGCTCTTCCACCGAGGATGAGTACAAGGGGTTGGCCGACGTCGCAGCTGAGGTCACTTGGGTTATCTCGCTTTTGAAGGAACTAGGGTTACATGCTGGAACACCTACCACACTATGGTGCGACAATCTAGGAGCGACCTACATGTGCGCCAATCCTTTGTTTCACGCCCGCACAAAGCACGTGGAAATTGACTTCCACTTTGTTCGTGACAAGGTTACGGCTGGGGACTTTCTGGTGAATTTTGTATCGATGAAAGATCAGTTAGCCGACATCTTCGACAAACCGCTGCCAGCAGCTCGGTTCACTTCTCTACGGTCCAAACTCAATGTAGTCTCTCTACCACCTTGAACTTGAGGGGGTGTGTGAGTAATAATGTTATTTGTTATTATTATTTGTAGACAGGAATTAGTCTCCAACTGTTTTCCTGATGTATAGGAGTAGTTAGAGTTCTAATCTCTGTTGTAGCTCTATCTCGTTCAATCAATCTGAAATCCATAATCTCATCGGTTCGAACCAAAGACCTACTTATGAAAATCAATGAGTAAGTTAAAAACAATAAATAATTCACAGAATATTTTGTTAGAAAATTATACACTGACGGGGTCCATGTGTATTTATGAAAAAGTAAGTGATATAATAGAGGGTAATGTAGAAAAAAATAATAAAAATTACAAGAATCAAAATAAAACGAAGCTTTCATTTCAAGTTTCAACAACCGATTGAACGAACTTGTTTTAGTAGATATTTTAAAAATATTAAGAGGTGAATAAATTGATATCAAAATAACAAACTAGTAAAATATAAAAGTTTGTTTGACAGAAGTGTGAATATAAATTTTATTTAAAATAATATATATAAAATGGAATTTATATAATAAATTATTAAATTTGAAAAGAGCTTAGTCCATAGGGTTGCTTTTTCATTATATGGTACTTTCTTTGTATAACCCTATGACATATACATTCTCAACCTGGAATGTCATAATGTTAATGAGAATATGAATTATGTAATTTTCGAATCTCTATTTCTAGGTGAGGCCTAAGTGCATATCCTTAAACAATTCTTGGATTCAATGCAATATTTCTTCTTGTGTGTCTTCCTTAGGTTCGAACCAAAGACCTTCTCATGAAAATCAATAAGTAAGTTAAAAACAATAAATAATTCATAGAATATTTTGTTACAAAAGTATACACTGACGGGGTCCATGTGTATTTATGAAAAAGTAAGTGATATAAAAGAGGGTAATGTAGAAAAAAATAATAAAAATTACAAAAATCAAAATAATACGAAGCTTTCATTTAAAGTTTCAACAACCAATTGAACGAACTTGTTTTAGGAGATATTTTAAAAATATTAAGAGGTGAACAAATTGATATCAAAATTACAAACTGGTAAAATCTAAACGTTTGTTTAATAGAAGTGTGAATATAAATTTTATTTCAAATAATATATATATATATATATATATATATATATATATATATATATATATATATATATATATATATATATATATATAATGGACATTATATAATAAATTATTAAATGTGAAAAGAGTTTAGTCCATAGTGTTGCTTAAATCAAGAAGCCAAACTTAACGAAATTAAGCTTTAGCGCTGCATATTTGGTTTGCTTAATTCGAGAGGTTTAACAAAGGCAAAGGTAATGCGTTTTTCGGGAGTTCAACCCGGGACTATTGCTTGGAAAGCAATTAGCCTAACCATTGGACTACAAACACAATTTCATTATATGGTACTTTCTTTGTATAACGCTATGACATCTACATTCTCAACATGGAATGTCATAATGTTAATGATAATATGAATTATGTAATTTTCGAATCTCTATTTCTAGGTGAGGCCTAAGCGCATATCCTTAAATAATTCTTGGATTCAATGCAATATTTCTTCTTGTGTGTCTTCCTTAGGTTCGAACCAAAGACCTTCTTATGAAAATCAATAAGTTAAAATCAATAAATAATTCACAGAATATTTCGTTAGAAAACTATACACTGACGGGGTCCATGTTAATTTATGAAAAAGTAAGTGATATAATAGTGGGTAATTCAGAAAAAAATAATAAAAATTACAAAAATTAAAATAATACGAAGCTTTCATTTCAAGTTTCAACAATCGATTGAACCAACTTGTTTTAATAGATATTTTAAAAATATTAAGAGGTGAATAAATTGATATCAAAATTACAAACTGGTAAAATATAAAAGTTTGTTTAATAGAAGTGTGAATATAAATTTTATTTAAAATAATATATATAAAATGGAATTTATATAATAAATTATTAAATTTGAAAAGAGTTTATAGTCCATAGGGTTGCATAAATCGGGAGGCCAAACTTAAGCTCTAGGGCTGCATATTTGGTTTGCTTAATTCGGGAGGCTTAACGTATGCAAAGGTAATGCGTTTGCCGGGAGTCGAACCCGGGTCTATTGCTTGGAAGGCAATTATCCTAACCGTTAGACTACAAACGCAATTTCATTATATAGTACTTTCTTTGTATAACGCTATGACATTTACATTCTCAGCCGGGAATGTCATAATGTTATTGAGAATATGAATTATGTAATTTTCGAATCTCTATTTCTAGGTGAGGCCTAAGCGCATATCCATAAACAATTCTTGGATTCAATGCAATATTTCTTCTTGTGTGTCTTCCTTAGGTTCGAACCAAAGACCTTCTTATGAAAATCGATGAGTATGTTAAAAATAATAAATAATTCACAGAATATTTTGTTACAAAAGTATACACTGACGGGGTCCATGTGTATTCCTGAAAAAGTATGTGATATAATTGAGGGTATTGTATAAAAAAATAATAAAAATTACAAAAATCAAAATAATTCGAAGCTTTCATTTCAAGTTTCAACAACCGATTGAAGGAACTTGTTTTAGTAGATATTTTAAAAATATTAAGAGGTGAACAAATTGATATCAAAATTACAAACTGGTAAAATATAAACGTTTGTTTAATAGAAGTGTGAATATAAATATTATTTCAAATAATATATATATATATATATATATATATATATATATATATATATATATATATATATATATATATATATATATATATATATAAAATAAACTTTATATAAAAAATTATTAAATGTGAAAAGAGTTTAGTCCATAGGGTTGCTTAAATCGAGAAACCAAACTTAACAAAATTAAGCTCTAGCGCTACATATTTGGTTTGCTTAATTCGAGAGGTTTAACAAATGCAATGGTAATGCATTTTCTGGGAATCGAACCCGGGACTATTGCTTGGAAGGCAATTATCCTAACCGTTGGACTACAAAAACAATTTCATTATATGGTACTTTCTTTGTTTAACGCTATGACATCTACATTCTCAACATGGAATGTCATAATGTTAATGATAATATGAATTATGTAATTTTCGAATCTCTATTTCTAGGTGAGGCCTAAGCGCATATCCTTAAACAATTCTTGGATTCAATGCAATATTTCTTCTTGTGTGTCTTCCTTACGTTCGAACCAAAGACCTTCTCATGAAAATCAATAAGTTAAAAACAATAAATAATTCACAGAATATTTTGTTACAAAAGTATACACTGACGGGGTCCGTGTGTATTTATGAAAAAGTAAGTGATATAATAGAGGGTATTGTATAAAAAAATAAATAAAAATTACAAAAATCAAAATAATACGAAGCTTTCATTTCAAGTTTCAACAACGGATTGAACGAACTTCTTTTAGTAGATATTTAAAAAATATTAAGAGGTGAATAAATTGATATCAAAATTACAAACTGGTAAAATATAAAAGTTTGTTTAGTAGAAGTGTGAATATAAATGTTATTTAAAATAATATATATATAAAATGAAATTTGTATAATAAATTATTAAATTTGAAAAGAGTTTAGTCCATAGGGTTGTTTTTTCCTTATATGGTACTTTCTTTGTATAACGCTATGACATCTACATTCTCAACCTGGAATGTCATAATGTTAATGAGAATATGTATTATGTAATTTTCGAATCTCTATTGCTAGGTGAGGCCTAAGCGCATATCCTTAAACAATTCTTGGATTCAATGCAATATTTCTTCTTGTGTGTCTTCCTTAGGTTCAAACCAAAGACCTCCTTATGAAAATCAATGAGTTAGTTAAAAACAATACATAATTCACAGAATATTTTGTTTGAAAAGTATACACTAACGGGATCCATGTGTATTTATGAAAAAGTAAGTGATATAATAGAGGATAATGTTGAAAAAAATAATAAAAATTACAAAAATCAAAATAATACGAAGCTTTCATTTGAAGTTTCAACAACCGAATGAACGAACTTGTTTTAGTAGATATTTTAAAAATATTAAGTGGTGAACAAATTGATATCAAAATTACAAACTGATAAAATATAAAAGTTTGTTTAATAGAAGTGTGAATATAAATTTTATTTAAAATAATATATATATATATATATATATATATATGTATGTATATGTATATATATATATATATATATATATATATATATATATATATGTATAGATATATAATGGAATTTATATAATAAATTTGAAAAGAGTTTAGTCCATAGGGTTGGTTAAATCGAGAAGCCAAACTTAACGAAATTAAGCTCTAGGGCTGCATATTTGGTTTGCTTAATTCGGGAGGCTTAACGAATGCAAAGGGGTAATGCGTTTGTCGGGAGTCGAACCCAGGTCTCTTGCTTGGAATGCAATTATCCTAACCGTTGGACTATAAACGCAATTTCATTGTATGGTACATTCTTTGTATAACGCTATGACATCTACATTCTGAACCCGGAATTTCATAATGTTAATTAAAATATGAATTATGTAATTTTCGAATCTCTATTTCTAGGTGAGGCCTAAGCGCATATCCATAAACAATTCTTGGACTCAATGCAATATTTCTTCTTGTGTGTCTTCCTTTGGTTCGAACCAAATACCTTCTTATGAAAATCGATGAGTAAGTTAAAAACAATAAATAATTCACAGAATATTTTGTTACAAAAGTATACACTGACGGGGTCCATGTGTATTATTGAAAATGTAAGTGATATAATAGTGGGTATTGTATAAAAAAAAAAGGGAAAATTGTAAAAAATGCCCCTCTATAATATGCCAATTATCAATGTCACCCCTAAATTATGAGTGGTGTAAATGTTGCCCCTCAATTATCAAAACGGTGCACATATAACCCCTCCCGTAACGGACATGTGGTTTTCTGTTAGTGTACGACACCGTTAAGTTGGAGTAAATATGTAATTTAGTTGTTTTTTCTCTCCCTCGATTCGAAGTACCAACAATGGACAGCGGTGGGGAACTATATGTCCGTTA